TAGTCACTGGACCACCAGGGAAGTCTCATGAGTGCCATTTTAGAAGGCAGTTATTGTAAGTTTATTTCCTTTTTTTTCTTTTTCTATTAGTGAGATAGGGGATATAGTCATCCTGCTTTCTTTAACTGTAAGTCCTATTTATAATTTTAGGTGGTTATTTTGAAAGGAAAATGTAAATGTTAAAAATAGTCTATATTAAAATTGAACTTTGCCTATTTTATGATCCAACTTATAATAGTTTTGGGACTTTGGACATTTCTTTCATGGTTGTTCAGAGGCTTTAAAAAATATTAGGGCTTTTAAAAATATTACTTCACATTCAGCAAAGTCATTGCTTGCCAAAGAAGATAAGGCCCAGTCTCTCTTGCATCTCTTGGAAGGCATGGGGGAAGTAATTTGAGATGTTAAATAGTTTAGAAATAAAGGGTATTTCAAGTTTCAGCTAGCAAAGAAAAGAACCCTTTTTCATGGTGAATTACACGTTTCCATATGTGGGGATTAAACTGTGTTACTGACTTCTGCTTCTGAAGTAACATCTCAGCTCTAGTAAAATGTTAACCTTCTTCTGCAGCCTTTTAAAATTTTTAGGAATTTTGTCCAAAAAAATCTTACTATAAGATATAGTCTTTTTTTTTAAGATATATTCTTTTTTTTTAAAGATATATTCTAAAATGAGAATTTAAGCCATCATTTAGTGATTTGCTTTAAAAAAATTCAATCCTAATTTAATTTAGAATCTAAATTAGTAAATTCTGAGTTGTCATTGTCTCTTAGGAAGAGTTGATGATAATGTTAGCTAGTGTCAGATCTTCAATGTGATGTATTTTCACAGCTGCAAGCTTATTTTAAGAGACTTATTTACACAGTCACCTCAGCTAAACCAACAAATAAGCGAGATAGACTAATAAGTCAAGACTTGACTCTGGAATCTCTCATTGTTGGTTTTGTTCACTTCTTATTAGTATAAAGTATTTTATGTAGCGAGTTTAATTGGAGCCCTAGTTTCCTCTTTAGGGTTTTTTTCTACTGGTAGGTGTACATGGATCCTATTTGTTTTGACAGTGGTACAAAACTTTAAACTATTTACTATCTAAAGAATTTCCACTCTAATTTATTAAACTGTTATCTTTCTTTTTAACCTCAAAAACACTTTTCTTTTAGCATAAGATATTTTCTGTGAAATATAAAGGGATTTATAAAGGGATTACTTAAAGCCGACAGTATATAATGTCAGATCATTTCTGTCTACTTTTTTTTTGCCTCTGGACTAATAGACATATATATATATATATATATATATACACACACTATCTAAATAATGCTGACACTTAAACTTCTCCTTTGCATTTTTGGATAAGGCTGATAGTAGAGTACATATCATTTGATATTTAAAAGTACATATAAGCTCTGGAATAAATGCCTGGTTATAAGTTCTGCCATTTAGCAGTGGGCCTTGGGGCAAGATCCTGCTAATCTAAATCTCTGTTTCTTTACCTCTGAAATGTAGATAGTAATTTGTTCTTGTTCAGTGGCTCAGTCGGTCCAGCTCTTTGTGACCCCATGGACTGCAGCAATGCAGGCTTCCCTGTCCCTCACCATCCCCCAAAGTTTGCTCAAACTCAATTCCACTGAGTCGATGATGCCATCCAACCATCTCATCCTCTGTCGTCCCCTTCTCCTCCTGTCCTCAATCTTTCCTAGCATCAGAGTCTTTTCCAGTGAGTCAGCTCTTCGCATAAGGTGGCCAAAGTATTGGAGCTTCAGTTTCAGCATCAGTCCTTCCAGTGAATATTCAGGGTTGATTTCCTTTAGGATTGACTGGTTTGATCTCCTTGCTGTCTTCCTCCTTTATCAGTGGTTGTAAAGAAGTGAGATAATTGAGTACTTAGCGCAGCATTTAGCACAGCACTGGGTGGAAATGAAGTGCTAGAACTACAGCATGGATAAACACTTCTGGAATAGTAGGGTGAAAGCTTCCAAAGGTCTCCTCCACAAAAGCAATGAAAACTCTGGCAGAAATTGTCAGAAAATTTCAAAACTCTGAACATTAAACACTTGTAAAAATTCAGAGAGCATTTATTTAAGGACAATGGCTGAATCTCCCATGGGAAGAGTGAACTTTGTAAATCTTTTTTTTTAACTGTTAAAAATTTTTGGCTCTGCTCAGTCTTTGTTGGTGCCTGAGGCTTTCTCGGGTTGTGGTGAGTGAGAGGTTGCAGTGCGTGGGCCTCTCATTATGGTGGCTTAACCTGTTACAGCTCACAGGCTCTAGGGTGTGCAGGCTTCAGTAGTTGGGGCCCATGGGCTCAGTGGTTGCAGCTCACCGGCTCTGGAGCTCGGGCACAGTAGTTGTGGGTCAGCTGCCTTTTAGCATGTGGCATCCTCTTGGACCAGGGGTCAAACCCATGTCCCTTCCATTGGCAGGTGGGCTCTCAACCACTGGGATCACCAGGGAACTCCACACTGTACATTTTTAACTTGTTCATTTTCTATCCCTCTCTCCAGAGGAGTCTTGAAAACCAACAGGTTCACCACTGTGGTGACTGTGAAAATCAAGGGCTCAGCAGCCACTGGAAGAAACTTAATGGCTTTGGAGCCTCCCAAAAAGTCCCATCACTAGAGAATTATCACCATTTGGCCTGTATGGCAGCTCCTTGCAAAGCTCCATTCTAAGGACTTGTCTTTATTTGACCAGACTTAGAGCTTGCGACTTAGCAGCAGCAGCAGCAGTGGAGCTTGTTATGTACAAAGTTTTTATACCTAGAATCTTTGTTGAAAAATATCAGCGGGAATTAACACTGTAGCTGCTTGAAGTGGTAATACCATCAGAGCTAGTAAGAGGGTGAACAAAAAACTTAAAGGAAAAACTGGGCAATGAGATATTTATAGGGAGCTTTGAAAAGCTCCAGCATATTCCTGAGAATCTAGAAGGCCACAAGCATGTGCAGGGCTCTGCATGTGTCCAGGGAAGACCTTAGAAATCCCTAACCTCTCACCTCTGGCCAACCTTCATGTTCTGCACAAAACAGAACTTAAGGTGGACAGAAGGAAAAAAAAGCAGTTAATTGGCATTTATCAGAAGTAGAAACTTTTGTGCTTTAAAGGACACCAACAGGGAAGTGAGAAGGTAGTAGAATGGGAGAAAATATTTGTAAACCATGTAGTTGATAAAGATCTTATATCCAGAATATATAAAGAACTGTTGTAACCCAACAATAAATGGACAAATAACCTAACTTAAAAATGGGCCAGGGATTTCAATAGATATTTTTCCAAAGAAGTTACACAAGGACCAATAAGGATATGAAAGATGTTGCACGTCATTAGTCATTAGAGAAATTTAAACCACTTCACACCCACTAGGGTGGCTATAATAAAAAAAGATGGACAATAACAATTGTTGACAGAGGTGTGGAAAAATTTAAATCATTATACATGGCTAGTGGGAATGGAAAATGGTGCAGCCACTTTGCAAAACAGTTTCCTCAAAAAGTTAAACACAGAGTTACCATCTGAACACTTCCATTTTTTAGTTATATACTCAAGGGAATTGAAAACATAAAAGACTTGTTCAGTTCAGTTCAGTCGCTCAGTCATGTCTAACTCTTTGCGACTCCATGGACTGCAGCACACAAGGCTTCCCTGTCCATCACCAACTCCTGGAGCCTACTCAAACTCATGTCCATTGTGTTGGTGATTCCATCCAACCATCTCATCCTCTGTCATTCTCTTCTCCTTCCACCTTCAATGTTTCCTAGCATCAGGGTCTTTTCCAGTGAGTCAGTTCTTTACATCAGGTGTCCAAACTATTGGAGTTTCAGCTTCAGGATCAGTCATTCCAATGAATATTCAGGACTGAAAAAAACTTGAACATAAATGTTTAAAGGAGTCTTATTCATGACTGTCAAAAAGTGGAAAAAACCCACAAGTCTGTCAGCTATGGAAAGGATAAACAAAATGTAATATACTCACACAATTCAGTCATAAAAAAGGATGGAGTACAGTTATATGCTTCCTTATAGGTGAACCTTGGAAACATGATGCTACATGAAAGAAACCAAATGCAAAATGCTGCATGTACTTGAATCTGTCTGTATCATTTCCAGAGTGGGCAACTCCACAGACACTGAAAAATTATTGGTTTCCAGAGCCTGGAGAGAAGGGGGATGGGGAGTGACTGCTAACAGGCAGAGGGTTTCTGGTTGGCATAGTATAAAAATATTTTGAAATTGCAAAGTGGTGCTGATTGCATAACCCAGTGAATGTACTAAAAACCACTGAATTGTAAACTTAAATGGGTGAATTTTATAGTATTTGAATTATATATCAATAAAGTGTAGTTTATTTTATTTTTAAAAACCAAAAACCCCTACAGCATTCTATTTAAGTGGATCACCTGGTATTGGAAAATAAAATTGCTCTGGAGTTTTCCTGCTTAGCTGGCAACTCTGTAGTGTTTACAATTATTTTTTAATGAACTGTCAGAAGGCTAGAATTCCATTTGTAGAGTTGTTATGCTAGCCAGAAGTACATGACTATTTTTCAGTTATACAAATGTTAATCAAAGCTACGTATAAGAAAAAAATTCCCTAGAATTCACCAAGTTGAGATTATTACAGTGTTTTTGTAGAAAGTTTTACTTCATATACAATCATGAGTTATAATATTTTAAAGCATTCTTTGGATGATAAAAAATTTTCTTTTTTTCCCAGTGCTTCATCATCAATTATTATTGTTGATGAGCTGTGAAATATTGCCTTTCTGTACATTTTGTGAATTTAAGTAGTTGGATTCAAAATCAACTAAGCTTGTTATAAAGTTTTACTCCTTACAACTGAATTTTGAAATAAAACGAATTCAGATCTTACTAGCTGTAAAATCTTATTGAATTATTTTCACATTTTAATCAGATTGTGTATATTAGTAAGGTCCTGTTTTTTATTTTTTATAATTTTTCATCCTGTATCAGTGTAGTCTGTTTTAACACACTGTGTTCTTAGCTTGCAGAACACAAAGAAGTGCGACATACCTACAGTCTGGAGTCTCTTTGCCACTGCCCTTTTTACGAAGAGGCCATGCGTTTAGTTGAAGAAGGAAAAATTTACTCGAGAGTGCTTAGGTATCATGCTTATGTTTATGAAAAATATTAACATGCTGTTCATATGTTTGTCTGATATTTATTTAAAATATTTATGAGAATGGGGGAAAATGTTTTTAGGCTCAGAACAAATTTTTTTATGTATTTTGTCAGTATTGAAAAGACATGTGTTTTTTATTAAGGTCCTGAGGTTAAGCCTTATTCCAAACTTGTAGTAGGCTTGATCTTAAATGCACTTTAACAGTTGTCTCCCCTGTTTATTACTTAGAACTGAAATGTTGGAGTGCCTAGGAGACAGTGATTTTCTTGCCAAACTTCACTGTATTCGACAGGCTTTTCAGGTATTTTTTTTTAACATTAAGTGACTTCATCCAGCCACTCATCCCCACCCTCATGCTATAGAGTTCAGCTGAGTATAAACAGGACAACTCTTTGCTCTTTATTATCCTTATTCGTAATGGCAAATAAAAAGTACTAAGTTTATTTTTCCTCCCTGCTGTCTCCCTTCATTTATCTTCATTTGTCATCCTCTCCTGTAACTTCCTGGGTCTACCACATTTTGTCAGAATACAATATTTTGATGCTAGAAATGTGTGTATACAAATTACTGCTTAAAGTATAAGTCCTTTTCCTTATTATCAGTTACTATGTGTTCTAGAATGTTTTTCGTTTGAATCAGTCATAAAATCGCCAATTTCCTAAGGTAAAATAAGGTCACTTAACAACAAAGTTCTCTTTATTTTTCTGTTCTGGAGTTGTTTGATTATTTCAAATTTTTCTAATATTGAATAGATTTAAATTCAGATTTATCTTCCTTTAATCTTTTTAAATTTTCTGTTCAAGAGCTCTTTTTATTTTAGTTACTTAGGACTTTTTTTTTCCTGTGGTCTACCTGCTGAAATAGTACCATATACCATGTATTAACTGTATTAGGGTTATTTGTACATACATGTGCTATAAAGTCAGATATCCATTCAAATTAATTATAGGTTTCCTTTTTTCTTTGGGGATGGATATTTTTCAGGTAATTCTTTCAGAAACAGCCAACAGGATATTCCTTGCTGAGAGTGGAAGGAAAATTTTATCAGCGTTAATTGTAAAAGCACGAAAGGTAAACTTGTTTTGTTGGCAAGTTTATTTTATTGTTATTATTTCAAGATTAAAATCATTAAATTTTTAATCGAAGAAAATGTTTTTGTAGATATCTGTAAAAATTCACATAATAAAAATAAATAACCCCAAAAGTATTTCTACTTGGGTTGATTTATTTTCTGTGTATAAAGTTCATACAGTTTTGAGAAAGTTGATGAATATATTCACAGTTTCCCAATAAAAAAATCTATTAATGTCATGGTAAGAATTATCATTAGATCAGCTATACAGCCACCACTATTATTATTTCTGATACCTCTTTTCTTACGCCTCCCTCAATCCTGTTCAGTAAGAAGGTCCTAGGAAATAGTGTAGATCTCAGAAATCTGGAAATACAAACTGAACTGTCTCTCTCTCTTACTCATCTTCATGGGTCTGAATGAGGCAGAAGCAATGGCAAGAATTTTATTAATACTGTAAGGAAACAACTTTTCATTTATGCAGGATGTGTCTAGATGATGAGAAAAAGAAACCTCAAACAGACTTTCCCTGAGCCATTTGAACACCTGGTTTTCAAACACAATCCCTTTGAACCTCAGTTCCCTCATTTGTATAATAGGATTATATTTATGGTACCCTATTTCAGAGTTCTTACGATGATTAAATACATGATAAATAGGAAAACATATTTTAAAAGTGCAACATAAATTTGTAGTTTAGTCGCTAAGTCACGTCTGACTCTACAGGATACTGTAGCCTGCCAGGCTCCTCCGTCCATGGGATTTCCCAGGCAAGAATACTGGAGTGGGCTGCCATTCTGTCTCCTGGGGATCTTCTGACCAATGGATTGAACCCATATCTCCTGCATTGGCAGGCAGATTCTTTACCACTGAGCCACCAGGGAAGCCCAGTATAAATTTAGGATCATGTCAACTACTTACAATTTCCAATGTAAATCTTTGTTTTAAAAAAACAAAAGAAATGGAATAATTATATGAAAAAGTTCCATAGTATTATAGTCAAATAAATTCAAATTAAAATAGCGCAATAAGACTTCCCTGACAGTCCAGTGGTTAAGACTCTGAGATTCTAATGCAGGGTGTGTGGGTTCCATATCTGGTCAGGGAACTTAAGATCCCCCGTGCTATGTGGCCGAAAGATTTAAAAAATAATAATAAAACACAGTAGCCTGTTCTGCCTATCAAATTGCCACCACTAGAAAGACAGTGAAATGTGTTGGTTGCTCAGTCGTGTGTGAATCTTTGTGACCCCACGAACTGGAGCCTGCTAGGCTCCCCTGTCCATGGATTTCTCCAGGCAAGAATACTCAAATGGGTTGTCATGGCCTTCTCCAGAGGATCTTCCTGACCCAGGGATTGAACCCAGGTCTCCCTCATTTCAGGCAGAAAGACAGTAAACCCAATATAAATCTTATGTTGCTTTCTTGGCCTTCCCAAGGCTGATAAACCCATTGCTTTGAATTAGAGTATGATTTGAACTAGAGTTCCTCCAAAAGGAATAGAACTCTATCAAAAGCATCACATAGTATCTTCTGTAACCAAGTTTTCATCTTAAGGACTAACCTAAATAAGCACATATAATTGAATAGTAAGCATTTGCTTATAGCATTTTACTTACATTCTTAGTCTTGACTTCTGCAAATGTTGGACTAGCAAAGTAAACAAAATGAATATGGCATACCTTGAAAATGTATTTTAATTGTTACCTAATAGAATGAAGATTTTGCAAGCTTACTTGAAGAGTATATTTACTTTGAGGGTTTGAGCATTTTTATAAAGTTGAGATTAGGATTAAAGTGTGCTTTCTTCTGCAGAATCCAAAGAAGTTTGAAGATGTTTTTGATGAAATGATCTATTTTTTAGAGCAGACCGATCACTGGGATAATACTGAAATGGAACTTGCTGCTAGAGGAGTAAGTCAGATTTTTTAATAGTATTTATCCCCTTTCATTTTTTGTACATAATATTTACATAATTTGAGGCCACTGTTTCTTTGTCCTTGTTAAATGACAGTAAAACCAATTTTGTGATGGTGATTATGATGCAGTCGTAAATAATAGCAACCACAGTCTTTATACATTGGGGCAACAATTGAAAATAGTATATTTTTTAAAAAGCCCTGTGTTCCTTCTCGCGCTTCTTCCTTCCTTCCAAAACCCAATGAGCAGAAGCTTTAGCAGAGCAGTAACGGTACCTGTATAAGGGTGGTTTCAGTTAGGACAGTGGCAGCTCAGGGGAGGCGGGGGACTGGCTACATATACAGGATCAAACAAAAATACATATATCGAGAATAATCAGAGTGAGATTCTCGTGATTAGAGAAGTGAGACCTAAAAAGCTAGGGCTGGAATTGGAGCTGTTAGTGTGAATTCATAGTTTACTAAATAGAGAAATAAATAGGAAGGTTTGCATATATGTAAACATACATAAAATTACTAACTCTTCACAGAGACTGTCTGGGAGCAAGAACACCTCAAAGAAAATTATCCCTAACACACAGATCTTGGCTTCTAAGTCCCACTCTCCACTAAAAGGAGCTAGGACTCCTTGGAAATTTGGCCGATTTCAGCACTAGAATACAGAAAGCATGTGTGAGCCTGGAATATTTTGTTGTAATGGAAGCTTAAAGAATGAGTTTGCAAGGAGTTGGAAGGCTTTCTTGGCAGAGAAAATAGTAGATGCAGAAACAGAGGTACAGTCTTCACAGTCTTTCTTTCTCTGGTGTTCCTTCACTCAGTTAAGAACCTCTCAGTATCTCGTTCACATGTGGTATAGCATGTAGTACAATACAGTCTGCATGAATGAAAGATTAAGAGATTCATAATGTGGTGGAGAAGACAGGCAGATATACCAGTAACTAAATGACAGGCTTCCCCTGTGGCTCAGCTGATAAAGAATCTGCCTGCAATGCGGGAGACCTGGGTTCAATCCCTGGGTTGGGAAGATCCCCTAGAGAAGGGAAAGGCTACCCATGCCAGTATTCTGGCCTGGAGAACTCCATGGATAGTGCATGGAGTCACAAAGAGTCAGACATGACTGAGTGACTTTCACAAAAATGACAGAGCAGAAAGAGCCTGTAGATACCATAATAAAAGCACAGACAAAGGACTCCTCGAATAGAGTGGAGGGAGAGATTAATTTCACCTGATGGGATCTAGGAAGGAACAACTGACATGTGAATTACAGTTTTTGGCTGTGAGTTGTTTTCAGTGTTGTCTCTCCTCTGTTAACCTGATTCAACTAAAAGTGTGCTACTGTTGTCATATACGAAGCCCTCACTCAGACTTTATTTCAGTTCTCTGTAATAATAATTTCTATTTTAACTTACAATTTAATACAGGTAAAAAATCTAAACTTTTATGATGTTGTTTTGGATTTTATATTAATGGATTCCTTTGAAGATTTAGAAAACCCACCTACATCCATACAGAATGTAGTAAATAATCGCTGGCTAAACTCCTCCTTCAAAGAAACTGTAAGTGATGGTTTACCTTTCTCAACATTTAAATTTGATGAAGAGTAGTCAGAACTGAGAAGATGAATAAGATTAATATATATAAATATATGTCTGCCTGTAGAACAACTATTATGGAAACTGAGCTCATCCTTTGGTATCGGGATCAGATGTGTATGATATGTAACATATGAAAGTGAAATTTTCCTTTTGGCTCTTCTGTCAGTCCCTGCCTTGACTTTGAGGACCCAGTATTTCTTTAGATATCAAAAAACACTTGGGTTTCAAACTAGGTCAGGCCTAACAAAAAATTGTAACTGAAATGACTCTATGACTAAATAGAAATATAGCAGTTTCAGTGAAAAGATGATATATATTTTTTTGGAGGAAAATACAGTTTCTTGTTCCCAAATACTATAAAAAATTCAGGTAGAAGGAAATTCCCTGGTGATCCAGTGGTTAGGATTCTGCACTCTCAGTGCCAGAAGGCCTGGGTTCAATCCCTGGTCAAGGAATGAAGAACCCAAGGCATGGGCTTGCAAACCCCCCCTCCCCCAAAAAAGATTAAGGTAGAAAAAAATAAGCATGTGCAAAACTAAAATGGGTTTAAACTGTATTGTATGCTTTGAATATTTTCAGTTTCTGGGGGTTTTTTTGTACTCAGATTTCTGTTTAACATTTTTTTGGTTGGGCTGAAGTGTGTACCTTGAAGTAGGTGGAATTAATGAAAGTTAGAATCTTTAAAAAACTTTTAAAAAAGTTTCAATTGGGTATTTCACAGTTATTTTGGAAATGCCTGATACCACATTTTAAAGCATTTTTCATAAATCCACTTTTCCCTCAAAGTATGTTTTAACCATTAAAAGGTGGATGTTCTCCATTTCTGTAACTGCTTTGGACGGTGACCTTGATCAAAGTTGGGTCATTCCACAGTAGGGTCAGATTTCTTCAGAATCCACTGGAGTGTTTTAGTTCCTGTTGTTATGAATGTCTCGTAGTTCTTAATTTGAATAAAACTTCTGGCTCAACTCCTAACTATTTCCAGCACTACTGCAATTCTTGAGGAAAAAATATTACTTGAATTTAATTACTGAGTTCCTTGGCACCAGAGTTCAGCCTTTCTGTCAGTGGCTTTGAATTTAATTTTAAAATTTATAAATACTTTTTCATTAATATTTACAAACAGTAGAAAGAACATGAACTAGTTCTTTTTGTTAGTATTTTAAACATTTTAGACCTTTTCACTTTGAATTACTAATAAAAGTCACTCTTTTTTAAATGAAAACTTTATATAATTATTCATTTAAATCTTGCTTTTTCTCCTCTGTATACATTTAGGCTGTGGCTTCAAGTTGTTGGTCAGTGTTGAAACAGAAAAGGCAACAGATGAAGGTAAAACTCATCATGTCTTGGATTTCTTCGTAACTTGAGGCTCCTGTTGGAGAAACATCTGAGTCAGTTTTCCGCTGGGGATGGCAGCTCATAAGCCCTGTCCTTCAAGCTCGATGAGTGATCTGTTGGCACTGGGTTGGGGTCTCTGTTTTTGAAGTTGGGAACAGAGTTTTTGCTTTTTTGTTTTTTCATTTAATGATATTATAAGATTGAAAAAAATTGTTTAACATAGTGGAAGTTATTTTGTGTAATCCAATTGAGAAATGATGATTGATTCTTAAAGCTGCTTTATTTGACACCAAAAATCACCTCAGAGTTTATATCCTGTACCCACACCACACACCCTCCAGCCCATCTCCGCCTCCACACCCTGCTCTTGCCACACACTCCCGTGGTACAGGGTGGACTCTGGAGTGAGACTGGTTCCAAGTGCCGCTTGTCAGCCGTGACCTGGGGCAAGTCTTATCCTTCCTTGCCTTAGTTTCCTCATCTCTAAAGAAGAACATAGTATCTACCTTGTGCGGTTTTTTGTTAGCATCAAAGTGCTTAGAGTAGTGCTTGGCATAGTGCATCATGCAAGTGTTGGTTATCATTATTATTTTTTTATTATTTGCCCAATGACCTGTAGTATTTTATCATGTCCATATTTCTAAGCCTGAGCCTTATAACTTTGAGATGGTATTTCTGAGGGCAGTGTTTTTGAGCATAGCCCTCACAGCATCTGCGGAAGGGTACTTGTTACAAATAATTCTGGAGACCATATATTTGAATAATTCTTGTTTAAAAGATGTTGAACAGGGATGTATTGTAAAACATGGGGAATGTAGCTAGTATTTTGTAATAACTGTAAGTGTAGTGTAACCTTTAAAAATTGTATAGAAAATAAGGGACTTCCCTGCAGTCCAGTGGTTAAGACTCCATGCTTCCACTGCAGGGGCTGCAGGTTCGACCCCTGGTCCAGGGACTAGGACCCTGCATGCCGAGCAGCACAGCCAAAAAAAAAAAGAAGAAAAAAAATTGTACAGAAAATGATTCCAAAGACCCTGTGTTTTAAACAAGTTCCCCCAAAGATGATTAGAAACTCTAATGTTTGAGAACCACTGGTTTAGGACTGGGGAATAGACTTGTCAACTTGGGTTTGATTTTCATATTCACTGGTGTGATCATAGGTAAGTTACTGGCAGCTGACCTTCAGTTTTCCTACTTGCAAAATGGAATTAATATTTGCTTCATAAAGCTGCTGTAAAGATGAAATGAGGTGAAACATAAAAATTAAAAGTAAATATGTAAAAAAAGAGTAAATATATAAAAGTTTAATAAATAGTAGTATTCATAATAATAGTGATTGTTATGGAATATTATTAATAATAATATATTATTATTATTATACCTAACCTTATTTCTTCTTAATATAAATCTTGTGCCTTGGACTACTGTTCTTCATGTACCCAGAGATACCTATATATTTCACCTCTTGAGGAGCTAGTTCCTATACCTGGAATGCCATACTCTATCCTCTGTACTTAAATAGTTCTTACCTACTGTTCAGTTCAGCTTACATTACTCCCTGGTGCCTGTGCTAACTTCTTACCTGTCTGAATTCCTAGTATAGTTAATGTATATAGTTAATATAAATATGGGATTTAGAATTTTACTATATGCAGAACATCTCTTAGACTATTATCAGTGTATCCATGAAAACCTTTTGGCCTTATTTGTGAGCTTGGATAGGTTTTATAACCCCTCTGAAGTCTCACTTTTTATGTGGGATAATGATGTTAACATGACCTACTTTTTCAGACACATTTTATTAAATTAAGTAGAACTTAGCTCATTATCTGGAATATAATAGGTACTCATTAAATGGCAACTACTGCTGTCTTTTTAAATTGAGGTTTAAATGATGTCTTGGAGCCTATAAAAGAGAAAATAACTTCTCCAAGAGGTAGAACCTTAAGGCATACTTATGCCCAGTAGATGCTATGATAAATCTCACAGGATGCTATTTAACATGGGAAATTTAGAAAGTAATTAATAAACTTAGAGACTTTCCTACATCACAGCTGTATATATTACTATTTCACAAGAAGGTGCATTACATAATTAAATGCTTCAATAATATCTGTTCCTTAACTGAAAGTTGAAATCCTGGTAAGCATATTTTTGTGCTTAATCAATGTAAACTTTATTTTAGTCTTTTTTGGATAATCTAAGTAAGTGATTGAGTAGAAGTTCTTCAATTCTAAGAATTAGCTAAAACCATGGTAGTCTCATTAATCCTAAAAATTGTACTGCTAAGGAACATTGTAGCATTCTTGTTATTGCTTGGTTACAACACTGTGATTTCTTTTTTATGAGGTGAAAATGCCTTTAAGAAGTAATGTTTTCAGCACATTGAAATTGTTGGATAGATTATGAAATGTTCATAAAGCTTTCTGTGACTCCTAATAGTTACTTCTAATTTTATTAGACTGGCTTATCATTGACCCTTGGTCTGTCCTCAAAAAGAGCTGGTCATATGATGGCTAGCAAGCAAATGCAGGAAGGCAAAAATAATTTGTTTCTCCTTTACTTTGCAACAGATCCCAGATGGATTTTTTGCCCATTTTTATGCCATTTGTGAGCAGATTAGTCCTGTCCTAGCCTGGGGCTTTTTGGGTCCTAGAAATTCTCTCTATGATTTATGTTGCTTCTTCAAGGTATGTTCAGTCATTGAATAATTTCTTTTTCCTAAATTGAAAAAAATTTTTACTGTTTCTTTTTGCTTTTGTAGAAGAAAGAATGTTATTTAAATATAAAGTTATAAAAGTCACCTATGCCAGTGGAACAGTTTTATATAGATCTGTGCTTTATCTTGGAGAAGAGTCAACAATTCTATTCACCATATCAATTCCTTCTGTAATGGATACATGTTTTCATATGTGTTACAGTGTTAAACAAGTTGCTATAGATAATTCTTCATGCCTGACACTTTGAAATTTGTAAAACAAATAATATCTATTTTATTGCACACACAGCAGTTTAAAAATAAGTTCTGGTTCAAAGTAATGTGAGTGATAAAATCCTAGCTATAAGAAAGAAGGTGGGAGTTTAAAATTGTATTCTAATGTCAGCAATTTAAATTGACCAAAACACAAATTGCATCTTGTTGCAGAATTTTCTGCCTGGCACAGTGCCAATAAAAATCTCACTATTTAATAGTCCTGAATTTAGGCTGAGTTTCAAGGAGCAAATAAAAGTAAACATAATCAAGTATAAATTTGAAAGTTTTTGATGTTTGTAGTTTTGGATGTTTCTCTATACCTTTCATTTAAAAAATTAAATTGTTTATGTGCTATTAATGTAGCATTTGTGTAAATAGCTTAGGACTTTTTTTTTTTTACTGTCATTGAAAACTCATAAATTTTACTTGACCTCTCAACTGTAAGGTAGATGTTTAGTGGGAAAATGTTGGACTGGGAATTGTCTACCCTTAATGAACATTTGTCGGAGAAGGCAATGGCACCCCACTCCAGTACTCTTGCCTGGAAAATCCCATGGATGGAGGAGCCTGCTGGGCTGCCGTCAGTGGGGTCACACAGAGTCGGACACGACTGAAGCGACTTAGCAGCAGCAGCAGCAGCGATGAACATTCGTGACTGTGGGCAAATCATGCTTTGTTCTCCTCATCATCTATAAAATGAGGGGACTGGACAAGCTGATTGCCAACAACCCTTCCCAGATATAAAATCCCATTGAAATCTATGATGTGCCTTCTTAGTACTTCTTAACATTTGATTTCTGGAGCTTCCCTAGTAGCTCAGATGGTAAAGTACCGGCTACAATGCAGGAGAACTGGATTTGATGCCTGGGTCAGGAAGATCCCCTGGAGAAGGAAATGGCAACCCACTCCAGTATTCTTGCCTGGAGAATCCCGTGGACAGAAGAGCCTGGCAGGCAAAGAGTCGAACACAACTGAGTGACTGACACATGTAAACATTTGATTTCTGTAGGATAGAAGCTAAATATTCCTGTTTGTTTGTTTTCTCGTTGTTGCTCTTTGGACATACTTTTTTCCATCACAGCATTAACAACCTGAGACTTAATGCTTAGTAGTATACAAGATGCTTAAAATGAGTTTCAGCCTAAGTATTAAATTACTGAAATGAAATATCCTTCACGATCTTCCATTGATTTGAGACCTGAAATTATTTTTATTTTTCACATGTCTTAACTTTTTTTGGCACAGAAAAATAGACATTTGGAATTTATAATTATTGGAAATAGTTTACTCTTCTGTCTTTAAATGGTACCAGCGCTCATAGGTAACCCTGAAAACTTCAGTTATTGGGAATGGACTAATAATAGTAGACCCTTACATCTATACAGTGCTCTGGTGTTTACAGGCATTTCTCAGAGAGCTCTTATTTGGTTGTTGACCATTATGTCAGCCATGAGTAGTAAAAACAACAGGTAGTAATTAGCCCTTATTTTACCGAAAAAGAAAACAAGACCTCCCAAAAAAGTTGCAACACTTTTCCACTGAGATTTGAAATTAGTAGTGGAAGTGACCCCTAGTTCAACATTTGTTACAATATTAGTAACTATTTGGATTTAATATAATTTTGGTCTAACAAGTGCCAATTTGTTTTGTGTTCATTTTCCAGAATCAAGTTCTTTTCTTTCTCAAAGACATTTTTGATTTCGAGAAGGTGCGCTATTCCAGTATAGAGTCTCTAGCTGAAGACCTCATGCAGTTGCTTATTCGCCGCACTGAACTTTTAATGGCCTGTCTTGGAGCTGATGCCCTGAGGCACACAAGTAGCTGTTTAAGTAGTCATGTTCCTGTTATGCCCAGCGGCCTATTAGAAGCCAAAGTACAATAAGTACCATAAAAGTCAGACAGTTTGAGTGTGCTATGAAATATTTTAAGGTAACTATTAATTTTGTAACATATATTACACAGAATTGGTGGATATGGACTCAGGGAGGATTAAAAAAACCTTGTAAAGAATGAGTGATTGTACTGTACTTACACAGAAGTTCTGTCATTGAATCCCTGTGTAGTGTATCCAAAGTGTCTTTTTACAAGCTTTAGGGAATAATTGTTGTGAAATGTTGTATATTTTATAGAAATATTGCTTGAATTGAAACCAGTACGTGGGAATTAATCGATTTGTTGTCTTCAAGCTGTCTGAAATGTCCAGTTTCATTCTCAAAAGCTTTGTTTTTATGCTTCACACCTTGAAGATATGTACTTTAGCCAAGACTTTTATGGCCCATACATGTAAGAATATATTACTCCTAGTGTCAACAAACTTAACTTTGCCTGAAAATGTATTTTTAATTGTAAAGTTATTCATTGTTTAATCTAGTTTAGGCAGTAGTGGTGTTTAATATGTACTGCTTTCTTCATTGCTTGTGTATTTGCTTAAGTATTTGAATCAAAGAAATTGTAATGGCCGAGTATTGTTATAAAACATTTAAATGAATTGCCACTGAGAAGTTTACAAGTTTATATTAGATTTACTGAAGTTTCCAAAATATATTACTGTTGGTCCCATAAGTTACAATAGAGAGACTGAAGAAATTTCTTTTGTCTTGGTATAGGTAAGAGAATTTCCCTTGAATGAATATTGATTAAAAGTATAACATTTGTTAACTATGACAGCAATTAAAATTTCTCCCATGTATTTTTGAGACTACCTCTCAACATCCTAAGGTATTAATTTTGACTTAGTAAAATCATTTCTTCTTTCTCCTTCTACAAAACTAGCTTTTAGTTATTTCATAGAGAACTTAGCACACTTGAGAGTTTGTCGTATTATGCCCATATTTTTGAAATATTCATTGACACTTTGAATCTTAGGGAGGTCTTAAAGAAGATTTTTTTCCCCCTGAATATAGAACAAAATATTTTTTAATGGTATGGAAGTATGTTTTCTTGTCCTTTGTGATAAATATATGAACAAATGGGTTGTTTGTATGAATAAGGATCTGGAGTATATTAGATACTTTCACAGTTGTTTTAATTTTGTGTATAAATTATATACCACTTATTTAGAGTGGCTGGCTCAGTATAACAATGGATTAGATTTGTTGATTTTGCTCCTAAAGTGATCTTTATTCATTTTGGGAGTGAGTTATCCAGAAGGATCTAAAATATATATTTTTAAATGTATTTTTAGATTAAAGTGCCTAGTTTCTGATTAATGAGTAGAAAATGAAAAGTGGGGAAAGAAGCATAATCTTTTAAGGTTTTAAGTTTATGTATGTGCCATATTTATGTAATACTAGTTACAAAATAGATTCAGAATCTTTGTGCTATTTGCATGTACTATATTCCATAACATGTAGGTTACAGCATTAAACAATATGAAATATTGCTGTAATATTTTTGAGTATGTAACTCCTTGATTTTTCTTACATGTATTCTTAATTTAATACTTGACTGTTCATAATTCTTATTATTAATGGAGGAACATCTTTAGATATATCAAAGCTAAAAATTCCATTATATAGTATTTTGTATTTTATTTTTTAAATTCTGTATTTTGGTTTCTTGTTGAGGTACCACTGACCTTGAATGATTCACACATATACACATGTCTGCACATACCCATCCCTGTTATTGTGTAAGCAAGATAGTTATTGCTTAGGTTAATTTTCCTGTTTGAAGGACTGAATGTTTTAAGCTGTGGTTTTATAAGCAAAGCTATAAGTAAACTTACTTTTTTATTTGAGTAGAATATTGTTTGAAATCTGTTTCAAAGAATTGCACTATTTAATAATGCTGCTAGTACATGAAACAACCCTGGGGAATTTATTTCATCAGATAAAATGAATGGCTTTCCAGAAGTTGTATTTTTCTGTTTTATACTTCACCTTAAAAAAAAAATTGTCCATGTTTAAGAGATTGGTTTATCATTTCAGTGCTTGAGGTTGATTAGTTTCTGTTTAGTTTAGAAGCTACTACTTTAGTAAGATGCTTTCTTTGTGGCCTTTGAAACAAGAGACAAGAATGACCAAATAGATTTTTAGGGTAATGGGTATAAAAAAAAAACCCTCTCTATTGTAAGGGAATAAACTTGACTTTTCTACAGAAACGTCTCTTAAAAATGTTTCTAACCACTGAAGAGTACTTAAGGTGTATGTTCCAATTTCAATTTGCCTTGAAATTGGGTTGAACAGATAAAGAAAGCAATGTTTTAAAAATATAAAGTAAGTAAACTAGTTTAGAGCCTTTTAGAATGAAACCCTGTTTAACACTTACTCATGGTAGTAGTATCAGAAAATTGCCTTTGCCACCGTGAATCCGACTATCTGCTTCCCTATACAAATTATAAGAGGACCTTGAATTAATCATGAGAAAATGGATTTTTTTTTTCCTTCTATTTTCTGGAGGAAAAAAAATAAGTGTTCAGGTGATTTCTATTTGAAATCTATTTCTTTCTCCTTTCGTTTCTCTGTATCTTTGTTCAACTAAAAGGCTAGTTATTCTTGAAGGATTACAATATGTTTATTAAATACAAAAATGAGATTCTTTTTTAAAAAGAAGGCAAGTTTTTCATACTGTTACAGTCAGCGCCAAAGAACTTTTTCCTTCCCATGAGTATTTTTTATTTGCATTTGTTTGATTCTATTAATTTTTTCAATTAACTCACTTTATAAAAAATATTTGCAAACTTTTTCTTGCCTTAAGATGTAATATTTTCCACTTAAATGATTGCCTATGGATGATTATCTGCATTACAAAAGAATTCTTTAGCTTATCATTCCTTTAAACCTGTGAGATAGGAATGCCAAAGTAGCATTTAACATCTTCTTTGTGACCTTTCATAATCAGAAATTTTAAATTATGTTCATAACATAATTTGCTTTTATCTTAAAGTGAACACATATTAGGGAATTATTTGGAATATGTCAGTACATTTCAAAGTGATTATAAGAATGACACTAAATTAAAAAAAATTTTTTTTTGCTTGGATTAACCAAATTTAGAAATATCTCTGTGTGTGAAACTGAAGAATTTATATAATCTGTGATTAATGGAAATAAGGGCATCCTTTCTTTGTTACTTGTGTTTAAATTGTTGTTTTGCTTAGTTTGAGAACAACTGTGTATTAGCTTCACTTGGCTGATATCCATAAGTGTGTCTATTTCCTAAGTGTAAAGACTGCATTCATCAATTTATGTAAAAGTAAAACACTATGGTAGCAGAAAAAAAAATAGCACTGACTCTTTAGCCAAAATAAGCACTGTTACATGGTATTTCTGTATTGCCAAATAAAAACGTGGTGGTACATCTTGCTGATGTATTGAGTACTTTATACAATACTTATATATATTTGCAAGGTCACACTTGTCTCATTAAATCCTGCGTACCCTATGAAAACTTTCAGTCTCCATAAGACCACATATATAGGCATGGAGAATATAGAACACTGCAGAAGTACTGAAATCAAGTGTGAAAGTATATGTTTCCTTTACATACTAACTGGGAGAGAAAACAGTTTCATGATGAATAAAGGTAAAGTACTTGTGGGTTTTTTTTATTAATAATTTCAAGGGTTATGGTTAAAATTGCCATCAAACTCAATATGAATCTATCATATTGATGGACATGCATCCTTCCCTATTCAGACATGCCCCTTGCCCACCACTTGGTAGGGGTTCAGATACATTTACTTAAGGAGAGGGATGCTGCCTGGATACCACTGAAGATACCAGATGGAGAGAAGGGTTTATTTGGTTATAAAAACAGTATTTTGATTTGGGAATTTTAATGAAGAGGTTTGTTTTAGAACAAACATGTACAGGATGGGTAAATGTATATAGCTATATTTTTAGACTCTTAAGTTAGACATAAACTTAAGTATATATTAATAAGCAAATCATATAAATAGGAGTTAAACTTTTTCCTAGCAAGGATATGAGGTTGGAGGCGGAATGGAAAACTAGATCTGTGTGTCCATCTCATCTTCTGTTTTCTTTGTTGTCTGCCATCCTTCTGTTATCTCATGCCATCTTCTTTGACGGTGCTATGTGAACTTAATATTTTGCACTTTAAACATATCTCTCCGAATTATATTATGTTTGTTTAAAATACTTCTCTACAAGCATCTTGGTGTCTTCATTGCTTGCATGCTCCCAGGTGTTAGTCTCTCAGTCGTGTCTGACTCTTTATGACCCCATGGACTGTAACCTGCCAGGTTCCTCCGTCCATGGGATTCTCCAGGCAAGAATACTGGAGTGGGTTGCCATTCCCTTCTCCAGGAGATCTTCCTGACCCAGAGATGGAACCCAGGTCTCCCTCATTACAGGCTGACTCCTAACTGTCTGAGCTCTCAGCTTGCATAATCAGTCATGTCCAACTCTTTTGTGACCATATAGACTGTAGCCAGCCAGGCTCATCTGTTCATGGGATTTCCCAGGGAAGAATACTGGAATGGGTTGCCATTTCCTTCTCCAGGAGATCTTCTGACCCAGAGATTAAACCTACGTCTTCTGGGTCTCTTGCATTGGCAGGCAGATTCTTTACAAACGTGCCACCTGGGAAGTCCAGTTCTTAACACTATTTGTAGAGCTTTGCTGGAAATCATTAAAAACTCACTTGGTTTATACACTGTCTTTCTTACTTTCTTGTGCTGCTGTGACTTCTATTTTTTATGTAGTGTTGCTTCCTACACCCTGTATTCTATAATCCTTTACCCTGCATTTCTTCTCCTTTAATCCCTTTCTCTCCTCATGCTACTGACATAGCAAGTCAGTATGATCAAGTCACATTGTTCACAATAGCAAGTCACATTGATCAAGCTGCACAGCTCTTTTGTCTGATGAGGTTCTTTTTTTGTGTTTTTTTTTTTCTACCTTTTAACAGTGAAAA